TTAATCAGATGCTTTTTATGTATTTATCTTTTTACTATTAGTGTTAGTTAAATCATTGTAACAGTATTGCATCATTAATATATAATTAAACTTTATATTTTTTAATAATGCTTATTATTATGCTTTTTAAGATACAGTATATAGAAATTCTTCTGCAAAGTACTTGGAATTACAATTTGTAATGCATATGTAATTCAGCAAAAATCATAATATTATTGCTTTATTCTTTCCTTTAAATGTAATTTACTCCAATATCTTTTATTAGTTTCATTTTTTACTTAGCTGACTGATCCTGTATTACTTCATGAAAAAATATAATAAAGAATTCATTTGATTTTTAAAAAATATACATGTTTATTTACAAATGATATGATGCTTTTATTACATTTATTTTTGAAGAACTACAGCATATATATTATGTGTATTTATTATTTGCTTATATTTTTTCATATAGGTTATTCTATATACAATTTACTAATATAAATTTAATAAATAAAAAATCTAATCCTTCTCTTTTGAACTATTTTTCCAAATATGGGCTATCAATACTAAATTTATATTAATGACAAATTTAAAAGATTTTGCAAAAAATTGGTATAAAACTAAGATTAAGAGTAAAAATTAGGAATTATAAAACATTAGCAATAATAATATTTTTGCAAATATTGGTATCATCAATGGACTGATTAATAATAATGTATTGTATGCTATTAATATTAATCAGATTTGAAACAGAGCTTTTTATATAAGAAATACTGTACTGATTGATATAATTGCTAATCTATTAGTTAGGGTTTCTCAAAATTGAATCAAATCAAATTGAACTTAAATATTTGACCGAATCAATTTGAATTGATTGAATTTAATTGAATCAAATCAAATCAAATCAAATATAAAAATTTTTTAATTTTTACAATGATATATTAAAATAAAGTTATTCTAAAGTTTTAATTAAGAAAATTATTAGTAATTGCACTAAAAAATTTCAAAGATAGCTTTTACAAAATAAGTTTATGAATTTTTACTATTAAACTTAATAAAATAACTTTGCAATTTCAGATTTACTAAGAAAATTTAGTAATAACCACCATTGTGACTTTTATTTTACTAAGAAAACTTAGTAATAATCATTATCTTGGCTTTGTAATAATTTTATTAATAAAAAATCGTTTCTAAAACTACAGACGCATTTTTTATTAGGTCTCTTAGTAAAAAAAAAAGTCTCTGAAGTTGCAGAAGCATTTTTTACTATATTTTTTTTTAGTAAAATAACGTCTTTAAAACTGCAAAAGCATTTTTTTACTATGTTTTGCTTAATAAAAAGGTATTTCTGAAGCTATAGATGCGTTTTTTGCTATAGTTTTCTTAGTTAAAAAGCATTTCTGAAGTTGCAAAGACGCTTTTTACTATGATTTTCTTAGTAAGAATTACTTCTAAAGCTTTGGAGATGACTTTACTATTTATTCAAATCAAATCAAATATTTGAATACTTGATTTAAATTTGATCGAATCAAATCAAACATTAATTTAGATTGATCAAATAAATTATTCTTTATTTAAATTTGGTTGAATCAAATAAAATATAAATTTGTATTTGTATTTGATTTGATTTTCAAATCAAATATTCAAATATCAAATTGAATTGTAGAACCCTATCATTAATATTAGGATATATTATTTGAAAAGAAAACTGATCTATACCAGGTAGCTGTTTAATATTTTTAGCTTCAAATGTATCAAATGCTAATACTAGTAGTAATACTATAGTTTTGAAATATTTGTTGGTCAAAAGATATATACCTTTTAACATAATTTTTTCAAAGTTACTACTGAAAAATCTAAAGTTAAATTTCAGTTGCTTATTCAAAATAATAATCCATATAATAATTCTATATTAACTTAAAAAGAATGATTAAATTAGCATACTATTTATTTCTTACTATAAATTAAAATAAATTAGTTAAACAACAATTTTTTCAAGGTCTTAAATCTGATAATTAAATAGAAGTGAAATAAATTAGCTTAGAGACTCCTATTTTTGAATTAATTAAGAAATTGAAAAAATTAAAAGTTATAGTGCTTAGCAAATTTTTAGAATGACTCTGCATCAACCGTCATATAAAATTAGTTTTCAAAAAGCTACTTCAGTTAAGTGTATCCCCTAAATAATTAGGTTTTAAAAAAAATGTATATATGTGAAATACGTTTGAAAATACCAGTTGATATACCAAAAAATCTTACATCTTTAGATAATTATATTAATAATAAATTAATAAGAAGATTAGGTATTGCTAATATTAATTATGTTAAGCTTTCCAAACAAATAATTAATGTAATCAAAAAGATATATAAAAGTATTATAAACCTACTCATAAAATTTCTAAAATAAAGAAAATAAATTGAAAAATAAGTCTAAGAAGAAAAAATCTAAAAGTGGTCTGATCTATATAGCTAAAATAGATGAATAATCTGATTCAAATTCTTATAATAATAATATTTCTTTATTAGAATCTGATAATAGCTCTTCTAACTTTGAGAGTTCTTCTTCTAAATCAGAATCTGAGGTTGAGGCTTAAATTAATATTAATATATCTCAGGCAAAAAAAAAAGAGCATAGCACTATTATATCCTTATGAAAGAAGAAATTAAAAGATCATAAGTCTCATAAGGGATCCCAAAGAGATCAGATAAAAAATATAGAAACAGCTCTTTTAGTTTCAGTTCTTATCTTTAAAAAGAAAGAGCAAAGTTCAAAGTCCTATCATAAGATGATTAATCTTGTATAGATAAAATTATGAGAAAATTATTAAGAAAGTATTTACACTAGTTGAAATCAAAAAAATTGCCATTTGTTATTCATTGGAAATTTGGATTAAATTCAGAAATTAGTCAAAAATCAGCTATCGTATTTATGGCCGATTTATGGTAGATTAGAGTTGAGCCAAAAATCAACTCTTATTGATCTAATAAAATAATGCAAAAATTGTCTAATTGAAAAAGATTAGATAGTAAACAGTCATTCTAAATAGAACGATATAATTATCAGCCTAAAAAATCAATTCAACATATTTCAATCAGATGATACAAACCCGATAAGAATAATTAAAAAATCATTTCAAAAGGATGATAGATTAATTATTTATTAAAAGTGTTAAAAATCATTCCTTTAGAATGATAAATCACTATTCTTATTGAATAATTTAAAAAATTGTCTCTTTAGAATGATAAATTATCATTTACTAAGAATAATCAAAAAAATCATCCCAAAGAGATGATAAAATCAATTGTTTATTAAGAACAAATTCGTTCTTTGAAAATAATAAAAATTATTTCTTTAAAATAATGATCATTCTATAATAATAATAAAAAAATTATTTCTTTTAAAATGATTATTATTCAATTTGAATAATTCAATATTATTCTAATCAAATAATGCAAAATCATCTAATTGAAATGATCAAATTATTGTCTTTTCAAGACAATATACTATTGTTCAAATCAAAATTATTGTTCTAATTGAATGATATAAAATCATTTAATTAAAATGATTAAATTATTATTCCTTTAAGATGATACACTATTATTAAATCATTTGATTATAATGATCAAATCATCGTCCTCTAAGGGATAATACAAATTATTCAATAGAAATAATGTTTCAATTAGATAATACAAAAATCATCTAATTAGCTAGAATAATTATGAATTAATTGAAAACTTTTGAAAAATTTTTTCCTTTTTTTTTCTATATTTTTTTCTCATCTTGAAGATATTTACCATTTTCTTTAAGAAAATTCTCATTTCAAAAATATGATAGTTTATTCTTTAAATGAAAATTTACTATTTTTCTTATTTTTTCTTTTTTTTTTAGGAAAATTCTCATTTTTAAATAAGATAAGTAAATCAAAAACAAGTTTTTGAAATGAATTTTTCTTTCTTTTTTTTGTTTTTGTAGAAAAGTTCTCATTTGAAAATAAGGTAAGTAAATCAGAAGCAAGTTTCTTATTTTTTTAAGAAATTTCTTATTTTAAAATAAGAAATGTAAATCAGAAGTGATTTTTAGATAGATTTTCTTCTTTTTTTTTAGGAAAATTATTATTTTAGAATTTAGATAAACAAATTGTGATGAATTTTTTGGTAAAAATTTATTATTTTCCTTTCTTTTTTTTCTTTTTTTTAGGAAATGGTAAAAATTTACTATTTTCCTTTCTTTTTTTTTTCTTTTTTAAGGTAAGCAAATTGTTAATAACTTTTTAGATGAAAATTTATCATTTTCCTTTCTTTTTCTCTATTTTTTTAGAAAATTTCTTATTTTGGATTAAGATTAACAAATTATTAGTGACTTTTTAGGTAAAATTTATTATTTTCCTTTTCTTTTTTTTATTTATTTAAAAAATTTCTCATTTTGGAATTAAAATAAGCAAATCATTAGTGACTTTTTAGGTAAAAATTTATTATTTTCTTTTTTTTTCTTATTTTTTTAAAAATACACTATAATAAGTTAATCAAAAATGAAATTTTTAACTCATTCCTCTATTTTAATTTATTTTTATATATATTGCAAAGTGTTACTTTTTAATAAATTTGAATTTAACAGTTATGTAAAATAATAAAAATATAAATTTAATAAATTTAAATAAATTTAAAATTGTTATATTAGTTTTGATTTATGATTTTTAGTTGATTTTAAGTAGTTGAATTAGGTTGATTTTTAGCAAATTGTGTTTGATTTATGATTAAATTGTAATTGATTTTAAATAGTTGAATTAGATTGATTTTTGCTGAATTGTATCTGAATTGTGGCTGAAAAAAATACCAATATTGCTATTATTCCTGAAGGGCTGGCATCTCATTTACAACCCTTGGATGTTTCAATTAATAAATCATTTAAAGCAAAGATAAGATTTATTAATTTATTAAATATTTATTTTATTTATTTTAATTTTAAATTGTACTTATAAATTTATTTTTTATAGATGTGAAAAAATTACAATGAATGGATGTCTGAATCTTTAAGGGAATTAACAACTGCTGGTAGAATCAAAATGCCATCCTATGAAACTGTTGTAAATTGGGTTAATAGATCATGGAACGCGATTGATATTGGTTTGATCCAAAGATCTTTTAAATGCTGTGGCATTTCTAACAAACATGATGGAACAGAAGATGATTGGATTTTTAATTATGAACGTCTTGGGCAAGCAAAATCAGGTGATGAAATAGAAATTTTAAATGATGATGATGAGGAGAGAAATTATGATAATGAATGGAATTAAATGTAATCATGTATAACAATCATTTGATCGACATATCGATCAATTTAATTGGTTGATTTATTAGTACCCCGGTATTAATCAAAATTTTATATTTGTGATTGAATAGTATCCGTTACTATTCAAGGGGGATGGATATTTTGCAAAGGGGGTACTAATGTCAGCGCTATACGGTAGTAATCTACCCTTAGTTCTTCTATATGGTAGCTATTAAAAAAATTTTAATTCCCTACATCAGCAGAGATTTATATTATGGAAATCTCCAGATGTATGATGGATTCCAAAAAATAAGTTATGTAATAAAGGACAAAAAACATTATAACCGGTTAATTAATTAACCCATCATACACATCATAAACAGATCGACATCACACAAAAAGTAAAAAAATTTTTCCGAGAATTAGATTTGAAAAAAAAAATGCTTTTATTTCCTTCCATTTCGCCATTTCTAAAGTAAAATATAAAGTGGATCGTTCATTTTATATTATTTTTTTTACGATATAATTAAATAATTTTAATTATTATGATTATTATTATACATTAGAAATTGCATAGAATTTGAACAATCTTTTTTTCATTTAATTAATATTGGGGTGAAACACTAAATTATTTACTTGTCATTATAAATAAAACGTGGATATTAAAAATAATAAATATCGTAGTTTAAGTTAGGTAAATTACATAAGAGTATTCGGAATTAATATAACTCAATTACTTTTCCCTTATTAATTATTCTTTGCACGTTTCCTCAAAGTCTCAAATTCTAATTTTTTTTATTTTTTTATTTTTTTTTTTTTAAAAAAAAAAAACAGATTAAAAAATGCCAAGACAAATGATAAATATAAAATAAATAGCTTATTCCAAACCTTCTTCCGATTCAAATTCTTCATATTCATCTTCCTCTGTATTGTAGATTCTAAGTTCATAGTTCAATTTCATATAATGAATTAGAAAATATCGCAAAAAAAAAAAAAAAAAAAAAAATTCATATATTTACGTCCAGGCTTGAGGATATAAGTCATCTTTAAAAATTCTACCCAAATCCCAAGAACTCTCGTCAGTACTTTCTTCTGAAAACCATTTGATAAAGCTTAGGTCATCATCCTCATCAATTTTGTGTTTCTTTGTATAGTCCTTTGAAACAAAAAAAAAAAATAGCAGGTATGTTTCAATTCCTGTATTTTCTGCATATTGACAAATTCAAATATTAAATTTATATACCCTTCCTTCAAACCACTCAATGGTTGTACTTTTTATCATTCGTTGTCCATCCGCATCGACAATAAATTCCTAATTTATTAAACAAATAAAAGCGAGAACATTCTATATGCAAATCAAACATACGATTAATTTACCTTTATGAGTTCTTTGTTCTTGAAATATTCATTATCCGAAAAACTCAAGATAATTTTGAAATTTTCTGACGTATTTTCATCCATTTCAATAGTCACGTCATTGATGTATTGCACCACCTAAGGACGAATTATACGAATTATTAAGAAATCAATAGACTCAAGATATACCTATCACATTTAAATTGATCATGTAATATACCGAATAATCATCGTTATCCAAATATTGTCCTATAACATGAAATCATTTAACCATTTTTTTTTTTAAAAAAAAAACATTAAGGACTTGATTAGAAAAATTCTGTAACTTACCGATAAGAACCTGTTTCATAAGCTATCACCCAACACAAAACAACAAAGTACGATAAAATTTGATATTTTTAAAAACTTGTTTCAAAATAATTATTTACTGTAATACCTACTACTTGTGACCAAAATTTTGGGATTCGTTTTAAAACATTCCTCCTTTTTTCATAAATAGGTTTTAATGCTTTAACGTGTTGTTTCGCTACACAGGAAAAATTCATTTAGAAAAATTCGTTTCATATCACTGACGAAATTTTGCATTAATTACCGATTTCAAGTTCGATATTGTCGAATTCTTGGGTTATTACTCCCATGTCCTCGATAATTGATTCATCGAGCACACCATTTTCTATTTCAGAATTAGAACTTGTTGCCATCTTTTCTTAAGTTTTTAAAAAAAATTTTTTTTTTTTTCGGAAATTAAAAAATTTAAAAATAAAGCTATAGACCTGATAGGCTTATTGCCTATTGTGCTACGATTTATTCATCGGAGAAGAAACTCTACTCTTTTTGAATTGGCGAATGTTACATGGGTTACACCATATCTAATTTCGGATGGTTTTTTTCTTTTATAAACGACGTTGTTCCGAACTTCTGAGCTTTATAACCCCCATTCAACGAAATACTTTTATTTTATAATTTCAATCTCTTAAAAGTTAATTTAAAATGGAAAAAAGTTCAAAACTCTGTGTTTTAGCTGACAACACGCTTGTTAGCATTGTTGAAAGAAATAGATGTAAGACCGAAAATATTGATTATCCGCATGATATAACAATTAATAAGAATATGGATAAGTTGCGATCTGGCATTAATGAGCTTGAACAAGAATTATCGATAGCCGAGGAGTCAGGGGCTCTGTATGTGCAATGTAATTTCGTTTACACACTCATTCGTTATTTTGACTAAAATAATATTTTATTTGATTTATTTTTTAACAAAATAAAAAAAATAATTTCATATTAGAAATTCCAAAGAACTCAAGGAAAAAGAAGATACACTCATCAAGTTGACAAAACAATTCGAAAAACTTGAAGCTTTAATGCAAGATAGAAATGATATCACTGCCAAGTATGAACTCAATAAAGTAAAGATGTGTGTTTATTTAAACTAAAATCTAAGCATCATATAAAAATTTTTAGAGAATTATTACTCGGACTTAATTCCATGAACGATTCTTCCTCCAGGAAATCGAAAAAAACTGTTCGATTTTCCGATCAAGTCATAGAAACCGATGATCTTGATAATACTCAAGTTCTTCAATTGCAGCAACGAATGATGCAAAGTGGGTTAAAAATATATATATATATATATATATTTTAAATTATTATTATTATTATGAGATTACTTATTACCAAACATCAAAAATGATCATTTAAAATTTAGGTCAGGATGAAGATTTAGATAGATTGGACCTTGCAATAGGACGTCAAAGAGAAATGGGATTATTGATCGGCGAAGAATTGAATTATCATGTGGAGTTATTAATGGAGACAGAAGATGCAGTTGATAGAGCTGAAGGAAAATTAAATAGAGCAAAGAGGAATCTCTCCAAAGTATCAAAACGAGCAAAAGAAAATGGTAAATATTCTATCCATCGATTTATATAATATATATATATACATATACTGTATATATCACGATATATATTATTAATTTTATATATAATTTATTAGGTTCTTGCTGGATTATTGGATTATTGATTTTCATATTAGTTTTATTACTTGTAATTTTATCGTAATTTTATATATTATCGTGTAAACAACATTTGTGCCTTATATTTTTTTTTTATTAATTATCATTATAGATTATCTATGTTATTAGAATTATATATAGCCTGATTATTTACTCTTTTATAATCATCCAACTTAATATTTTATCTCTTATTCATTAAATTATTGCATGATTCGCATTCTTTCAGACAGAAAATAGGTTATCAAATTCCTCGTTTTAATTATTAATTTTTTATTTTATTTTTTCCCTTCCTTTTTGTTGCTTTTAATTTTTTCTTTGGATCTTGGGTATTTTCAGCTTCTAAAATATTACGCTTCTTTTTTTGAATTTCTTTTGAAGCCCCAAAATTGGTATCATGCAAATGCTAATAAAGCAAAATAAAAAAATAGCTCATTAATATTAACAACGTATTAAACATTTCAAGAAAATAAAATGATAAAAATTTACCATCGTAGCGACACGTTTTGCAGTTGCAATTTCATTCAAACTTTCCAATACTCTATTCTCGTTAATCTCCCATTCTTCCATTTTTTTATCTAAAGAGAACAAAAAACAAATATTATTTGGGCACGCTATGATAAAGAGATATTTGATTGTTTAACTCACTTATTCTCGTTTCAATATTTCGTACAAGTTCAATATCGCGCTCGGTTACAATTGACAAAGCCGTACCGCCTCGACCTAAAGGCATTAAATTTCACTTGAGAATTCAAGAAAAGTTCATCAAAACCAAATTTATATGATTAAATATTCGACATACCAGCTCTTGCAGTACGACCAACTCGATGAATGTAATCTGTGGGATCACGTGGGATATCAAAGTTAATTACCACTTGCACAACAGGAATATCAAGACCACTGTAAAAAAAAACACAATGATTTCATAATTAACAAAACATTGCAATTCAATAAGAAAGGAATTTAAAGATTTTAAACACCAACCGACTACCAACGTCAGTAGCGATCAACACTTTCACTACTTCTGCCTTGAATTTACCCAAACTGTTTAATCTTTCTTGTTGACTCATTGTCGAGTGTAAACTTGTACAACGAATATCCAATTCCACGAGCATAACACGCAAAATTTCAGCGGTACGACATCGTCCACAAAATATGATAGTGGATTTATTTGAAAGTTTTTCTGATCGAAGAAGATGTGTTAAATAAGGTTCACGTATATGTGATGGAATCAATACATAATATTGCGATAAGGATGATACTGTCGAAATGCTAGATCAAGAATATATGAGTTTATTAAAACAATCGATGATGAATGAAGTAACTTTTTTTAAAAAAAAAAAAAAATTGATCAATGAACTTACTCCGATTTCACTTGATAAACAAAGGGTTTCTTGTTAGGATCTTCTTGCGTGTCTTGTAAATGCAAAATATTTTCTGTCATCGTCGCCGTAAATAATAAAGTTTGGCGTTTCTTCGGTATAGAATCGAATATAACTGCAAGATCTTCCACAAATGTATCAGATAACAAACGATCCGCTTCATCAAGAACCTTAATCAATGCGAAATAATTATAATGAACAATCAATCCTCTAAAAGATAATCAAGAAATAGCGTAAATGAAAATTACCAACCAAAAATCTTATTCTTCCTAAAAAAGATGCGATTGCACTACTATTGATATGATCTACAAGTCGACCAGGTGTCGCTATAACCACATGTGGTTTCCTAGATAATTGTATTGCCTGACTCATCATATCAAGTCCTCCAACAACAACACATTCTTTAAGGTTTATACCGTTACCAAGTACTCGAAATTGATCAGCAATTTGAAAAGCCAATTCCCTAAAAATCAATTGAACTTTTTTAAATTAAAAATAAAAAAAATAAAAAAACTTGGGTTGAATTCAACAAACCTCGTTGGAGTTAAAATAAGTGCAAATACACCAAATGGATCCTCCGATAATTTCTGCAAAATAGGTAAAGCAAATGCTGCAGTTTTTCCTGAGCCTGTTTTTGCTCCTCCTATACAATCTTTTCCTTTTAATATTGGCGGTATACAAGCCTTTTGTATTTCTGAGGGAGAGTTTATTGACATGGCTTTCAAAGCATCAGCTAACCATGATTTTAACCCTAATTCCTCAAATGTCTTTGCTAATGAATTCTCAGATATTATTTGCAAATTATTCTCATTGATGAATCCCTCTGATTCTGAAGAATTGACTTCATCGTTGGATAATGACATTTCGTAAGATCTAGATCTGCGTATCAAATAACGTTTAGCATCCCGTAAATATTAACTGCAGTGTAACAAAATTTGTCAAGATTAAATTACGATTTTACTAATTTCCCCCACTTTCTGTTCTGATTGGCCGGTATAATTGATATTAGTTACCATTTGGCCAAAATTTTTTAAGTTTTGGTCGCCAAATATATATTTATATTGTATATACCAACCTGATAATTCTAAAGCAATAAATTGGTAACCAGTAATTGTAAAAAAGATGAAAATAGCTTATTTATAAACATCAAATGGTATATAATCAAATTGTAATTTGCTAATAACATATCATCTATTGATACTAGAAGTAACTAGAAGTACAAATTTGATATACTGTAGATCATCATAATAATTTAACAAGCTATATTTCATTTTTTTATAATCACTGGTTAACAGGTATTATATTTTTCTGAAAATAAGCAGCTTATCTTTGGGTAGTTTAATAAAATGAAAGAATTCAATCGCACAACCATTAAATCATGTGATTTTTATTGATCAAATTTCAGATACATTATTCGTAATTTATCATATAACATGCAAAATATGTGAAAATAGTAAAATAAAAAAGAGTAGTTGTTAGAACTGTTAAATACAAGACTCAAATTGTAAAATGAATACAAAAATTACACTTAGCTAAACATAAAAAAGAGGTTATTGCTTATATAAAAAAACTATTGAATAATCAAATAGAAAGATAATTTTATATTAATTGTGATGTAATAAGCTATTATAAGTACAAATTCAAATGAACAAGTGAAATCAAGAAGAAAATCAAGCAGGTTGGTTAGCTCTGGTAAAAAGCCTTATTTTCAGAAGCAAAGAAAAGGCTTTATATCTAAATAATATAACAAAGCAAATAAGATCTTATAGTAGAATACATAATCATAAGAAGCAAATATTATTAATGTTAGATATTGGGCTTTATAAAAAGATTCAATTTAGCATTGTATTGTAGAGTCAACAATTTCATAATTTATGTGCAATAATATGTTAAATCCCAAATCTGATCAAATTAAAGTTAATAAAAAATGTTATAAAAGAAGTATAGAAAAATATATAGTATGAATTAAACACTTCTTTTTTTAAAAATGTACAAATTTATAATGATTTCTTATTAGGATATGATAAAGAATTTTAAATTAGTGAAGATGATAATAGCAAAAATATTAAAAATAATAAAGATAAAAATGATCAGTAATAGATAAGTTATAATTAAATTTAAATATTTATTAAGTATTTTATTTATTAAATATTAAAATTTTAATAGTTTACAAATAAATTCATAAAAACTTTTTTTGATATTTTTTCAGTAAAAAAGTAATAATGTTAAGACTATACATGAAGTCAAAATGGATCATTTCGGATATCCGAAATGGTCAAAATGGTCAAAATCATTTTTTTTTAACG